CGTGACAGGATTTTAATACGGATTTTCGAAACAGCTACAGTACAGTTTATTTCAGAGCACATTGATCGGCACTTTCGACAATGTACAAGAGGCCGTCTTGCTTAAACAAGAAGTAGACGGTACTTTGGGTCAAGCTTCACCACGATAGAATTTGTGACACAACTATACAACTTAGATCAGTCTTGATTGCTTCTTGTGATAAGGATGTAGCAAGGCAAGGAACGTCATACCTTTCACATATCTAGGCCATCCAAACAGAGTGCTATACAGTGGCCTAATACTCGGGACAAGTGCCTATTCTGTGAGTTCAATAACTGTGTGAGCACTTTCAATGATACCTCCTACAAATCCAAAATGCCCATTATTATTAGTTAGAAGTTAAAGAAGCAACTGTCGACACTACACTGAGCCATAATTGCCTGTAAAGCACCTTGAAATCTATGCTTCCGGCTGTAGCAATAAAACGCGTACTTAACGAGTCGCACGTTTTTCGTAAGAACTACAAACACAGGCAGTTTTGACATGCAGTACGATCTGGTCGCTTAGGTCATGCACTCAAAAAATCATTTCGACAAAATGATTACCATCGATCAACTGCACCCTTGTCATCACCATTGCATAATGAACTTTCCACTGCACGAATGCAGTCTATGAACGTTTTACACAACCATGATCTACTGTCGTTAATGTCGAGCCTTTTTTTTTTTTTTCGGTCTTTATACGTACTACTAAATGCGTTAATCAGGTACGCATGTTCAAACATGTACTGTTTGATTCACCATGCATAATATTTCACATGGTACACTTGTTCACATGGTACACACAGAGAACTCGCAACAGAAGACTTGTGCACAAAAATTTCATACTTGGAATCCTTTCTAGCACTACTGTTCAAACGCAGTAGTACTCATACAGCGCAGTACTGTGCAGTACATCTGCGAGCCAGCAGTAGGAATGACGAGAAGTATACATAGATTTGCTCTGAGCTTTGTCGTTAAGCTTCTGAATGAAGGAATTGTAGGAACTTTCTCAGGACTCATATTTCACAGCAAACCTGTCTATATGAAATGACAAATTTTTTTCCAGTGTGCTTATTCAGCTGCAACACTGCTACTGCAACAAGAAAATAATCATGATGCTCAAAATAGCTTTGATTTTTTGAAATGTACTTTTTAAAATGATCTAATTCCAAGTTACCAAATTCACATGCACTGTAACCGCTAGCAATCCTTAGAGTTGTTCAATAATTTCAGCGCTTGCTTACTGTCTACCACGGCACTGCAAGCGTGTTTTGCATTGCGTCTGCTTCCCGTGACAGCTGCAAAAAAAGTACACATTGTCACGATGCTGCATAGGCTAACAAGAATGCAAGGTGAAGCATCACCTAAACCACTTGTTCTCAAATGGAGGTCTGCAGAGGGGGTCCGTGAAGCCATTTGTATTATTCACTGAAGCCCTCACCCGCATTTTTATTTAAGCGTGACTGTGCCACGTCTTGATTTAACTGTCCAAAATGAAGTGATGTGGGACGTTTGTTTGATGTTTTGGTAGCAATAAAAGGCACCTGTTTCACGCTCCAGATGTGTTAATTTACCTGCGTACCCCCCTCCCTTCCATACGCTGCAAGGGGTCCTCCATCACTTCCACCAGTCCACAAGGGGTCCCCGACACATCCATGGCTGAGAACCACTGTCCTAAACTAATCTGTAGCCTCGTTAACAAATATACATTAAAAGATCACCTCCAAAAAAGAGGGAATGCGGGGATTCGAGTCAGCACCCATTGTACTGCACAGACAAACACACTTGTGCATGCACGATTCACAGCTTAGTCAGACGCAGTTATTCAATACAAGCATGATTCTGAAGAAAATCGCAAAATTGCCGCACCACTGTGATTAGATTTGGTGCAGGCAAATGAAGATCGCAACATTTTCTACTGGCATAACTTACACTCAAAAGGCAAGGCTGACAAACTTGGCAGAGTTCTTCGATAAGTTTGTTTGCAAAGACTGCAAAAACTCTGTTTGGTGAAGAACAGCAGTACATGAGACAAATAGATGCATTAATTCAGCTCTTCATTGTTTGCATACAATCCCTCAGTCACAAACATGCAAGCTATTTATCAAAACACGGCAGCACAGCACGGCCTTAACACCATTGCTGTTCCAGCAGCAGCGCCCTCGGCATGTTTTGCTAGAGTTGCCAGTCGGATGTTGTTCTCTCGTTGGTGTCGTGCAATTGGAAGGCCCTTCGTGTCATTGAAGACTGAAGGCAAGAATGCACACTCCATAAGAAAAAAGAAAAAAAAGGAGTAAGGCATGTGTGAAAGCGCAACCATGAAGGAAAAGGTAGAAATGTGTCACTGTCGTTGAATGTCTTGAGGCACAGACACGGCATTTTCACAACGCTTCTGTTTTGCATATGTGCAATGACGAGAGAGGAGAGAGTGAAGAATAGAAAATAAAACAAACATGGCATCAACAAAAAACAGAGTTTTAATACTTGTATAGAGAGCCAGTCCAGCATTGAAGGCATCACTTCGTTTGTGTTCTGCAGAAGGAAATTTTTGAACCACACCGTTCTGGCACCCACAAAGCAATAAGTTTATTGTACTTAAAAGGCTAACGAGAAAGAAGTTCTGGACAGTGTAAACAAACAGCCCATAGTTTCAAACTGCCCAGTGGCCTTTGTCTTGAGGCACAGACACGGCATTTTCACAACGCTTCTGTTTTGCATATGTGCGATGATCAAAGAGGAGAGAGATAGAGGAATAGAAAATAAACTAACATGGCATCAACAAAAAACAGAGTGGAGCCGTTTTAATACTTGTGTAGAGAGCCAGTCCAGCATTGAGGGCATCACTTCGTTTGTGTTTTGCAGAAGGAAATTTTTGAACCACATCGTTCTGGCACCCACAAAGCAATAAGTTTGTTGTACTTAAAAGGCTAACTAGAAAGAAGTTCTGGACAGTGTAAACAGCCCGTAGTTTCAAACTGCCCAGTGGCCTTTGTGGAAATTTTTACACGAGAAATCTGCGCCTATTGGAAGGCCCTTTGTGTCATTGAAAACAACCGAAAACTGAACCCTCCCCCACCTCATTAAACCCCGCTGTGGCGCACAGATAAGATGGGGGAGACGTGCCACCCCCCCCCCCCCCCACGCACAGATAAAAAGAAAAGCAATAGGCACACGGGCAAAGGGGGGGGGGGAGCCAGCCAAAGTCGTTGAGGGGGGTCCGCAAAGTAATAAACAACGGAAGAGAGCCAACGGGTGAGGAGGTGCCATGTGTCGGTTAGCGGGTCTGCAGCGGATGAATGTAGGGTATGCGTTTATTACAGATAGAAAGAAAAGCAATATGGCATGCGACAATGGGCGAGGGGGAGCGAGCCGAGGTGGTTGAGGGGGTTGGCGAAGTAATCAGAAACAGAAGAGATTCAACAAGTGAGGAGGTGCCAGGTGTCGGTTAGCGAGACTCCAGCGGATGAATGTAGGGGGTGCATTTATTATGTGAAAAAAAAAAAATCTAAAGTTTGACTACTGAAGTTGGGGGTGCCTCTATTATGCGAGTAAATACGGTAATTGCTTTGTTAGCGTACGTTACTGATCTGCAAACAATTTAGAAAAAGTAGAACTTCGTTTTGTAGAGCTTTACCTTGCGATACCAATCTCCGGTACGGCCGTGACTTGCTTGGACGATTAGCGTTGGCTAGCACTAGATATGTGTCCATCTCAATGCTGGCTTTTATTGTGAGTGTGCGTATTTGACTAATCGACCCAAAGTTGATATGATTGGCGAAAGTGAGAGCAGCAGGATGTGGTGTGTGAGCAGCGAAGAATGAAAATTATTCCAAGGTGAAGCGGGCCTCAGAAAGAAACAAGAAAAAAAGGGAGAGAGAGAAAGAAAAAAAGAGTAGTACTGAGAAAATGGTGACAACAAACAACTCGATTACAAACAGGAACTTGGGGGAAGGGGGAGGAGGAGGGGCAGGAGGAGGGATGTGTGTGCTTCACTGTAACGAGTGACCACTCCACGACCGGAGCGGGTTTCATGCTTTTCCGAAACTCATCGAACAGCCCTTTTCCGCACCGTCTGGCAAAAATCTCCCCCATGCCGCAGATTTCATCACCGATGTGAACCGATGTACATTTCGACTGACTCGTCAACTAGCAACTATAATCTGAACAACAAGCAGCAACAAGAAAAGAGAATGCTTGCACTAGCTGAGCCACGCTTTCACATCGTAACACTGGTCTCCGCGAGCTGATGAAATCTTTAAATAAAATGAGCACACAGGCACACCTGTGATTCGTTCGCAGTGCACTTTCATCTATAAATCCTCGTTAATTAGTACAGTCAACTTGCATTAGTTCAAGCTCTTGGATGTCACGCTTCTGCTTGTGTCATAGGCAGTTTGAGTCGTTGATAGCTCCACGATAAAACTACCATGACGTCATGTACAAAGGAACGTTTACAAACCAACACTTCCTGCTCTTTCTAAAGATAAGTCGCAAATAAAAGTAAGAATACATGATAACCACAGGAAGTTTAGCATACATATTAGCAACTAGCAGTAGACAACGTGGTCATGAGGTGACTCCAGCAGGTTCCCTGATGTGAGCCAAGCAGTTTGATCATCTAGTGAAAAGTATGCTTGCGATGACCTGCAGAGCTAGATGTCTCGTTTGAATGAAGACCTTGCATGTGCTGGCTCAAACGAGATTTCTCATGACTCTGGCTGATTTGTCTCCAGAGCTGGAAGTGCTCTCAGCATGAATCATCGAGAGTTGACTATACTGAAATGGAGGAACGAAATCAGAATTCTAAAACAAGAGGTACTGCATTTTATTCCAACAATGCTTCGTTTACTCTTTGAAGGCTACAATGCAGATGTGTAGCTCTTGCATGTTAACATAATTTCTATAGCTGCCATGCAAACCAAGCTCATTTAAACACGGTTAAAATGTACAAAAAAGAAAGAAAACAGTAACTTCTTGTTTTCCATGTGCGTGCCATTTATTGCAAAAAAAAAATGAAAGGGTTCTTTTACCTTGATCTGCGTGCCTCTAATGGAGCCCTTCAACATCCACGTAGTACAATGCGCGCGTCAACGAAGAATCACGGTTGCAGACATGATTGAGGTGTGCCCGGTGTTTATGCGTATGGCAGTGGCCAGTCTTGAATACATCATTACTAGTACAAGCGTGCCAACACTGGCCCCCAAATCTCACCAATGACTGAGAACCTCAAAGAACTTGGTCTTGCCTTTGCGCAATACACACATCGACCACCAGACGCCTCTAAGCAACCCGAATACATCCAGTGGCGAAGCATGACGGGCACTGGGTGTACTGGGTATGACGGGCATTCTGAATATGCCCAGTGTCTGAACCTACCGTTCTCACAAGGGATAACACGTCCGATTGCAGCATCACTCAGAACATTACTAGTAGCAAAACATGAGCAGGCACTACGCCTCACTAATGGCATTGTCAAATGGCAAAAACAGCAAAAAAAAAAAGAAAGGCATAATCAAACATTACCATCCACACAGAATCATATGAGTGACGCATGTCACACACACACACACAGCTTCATTAGGGCACACTTGCAGTTTCATGGTCGCTCACAGATGTCATCGCATGCAACACTGAAGCTGCTCGAGAGCAACTCACCACAGTAGAAACACGCAGCCTAGAAGGCAGACTCGAGGACAACTCTACAGAAAAGGGGGTGAGGGTGGGAGGTCGACCTGCTGAAATAACTAGGCACAAAATTGCCCTACTTGATATGCACTGCCACACGCACGCATGAAACTCTAAAAAAATCCATCGCGACATTCTCGCAAAGCAGGTACTATACTCCCAACACTCCTTTTGCTGACGGCTAGTCTTTGCATAAGGCAATGCAACATGCTTGCCAAGTCCTGTAGGAATGCTGCTGCCGCCACTGCCCGTGCTTCCCGGCTTGGTGGACCTGGGTGGTGTAACGACCAAATTCACCCAGCTCCAAGGGGGAGTGTAGGGCATTGGGCATGGCGATGTATTCACTTCTTTACAGCGTTGCAGCAGTGCAGAACTGGGACTGCACAAGGCTATCACTCAGGTTTGACCTCGACGTAGTTGAACACGTCTTCCAAGCCTCGCGTCCTCTTCAACCGCGAGTCCTCAGTCCTCCGCGTCGTCTTGGTCCATCTCCATGCCGAGTTCGGCTGCCTCCGGCGAAGACAGTTCGGTGAGCAGCGCCGTTGCTTCCGCAAGGGTGTCCTGGAACAAAACGTTTATACATTCCAGTGTTTTACCCAAAAATCCAACGACAACCCACTTACGAGGCACCATGGGCTTGGGATGCTGAATGAATTTTGACTGCCTTGATATTAATTTTGTTTCTCATAATGGCATTAAATGAGACCTCGAAAAGGCCAAAGCTCATCTCAGGAAACGACATCAAATGTCTTCACTGACTTATGAGTACTATCGTCTGAACACGGCAAATACAAATATGAAGAGGTAAACCTATAATTTCTCCCATTAATAATAATATCATCATCAGCCTGACTACGTCCACTGCAGGACAAAGGCCTCTCCCATGTTCCGCCAGTTAACTCGGTCCTGTGCTTGCTGCTGCCAATTTATACCCGCAAACTTCTTAATCTCATCTGACCACCTAACCTTCTGTCTCCTCCTAACCCGCTTGCCTTCTCTGGGAATCCAGTTAGTTACCCTTAATGACCAGCAGTTATCCTGTCTACGCGCTACGTGCCCGGCTCATGTCCATCTCCTCTTCTTGATTTCAACTATGATATCCTTAACCCTGGTTTGTTCCCTAATCCACTCTGCTCTCTTCTTGTCTCTTAAGGTTACACATACCATTTTTCTTTCCATTGCTCGCTGCGTCGTCCTCAATTTAAGCTGAACCCTCTTTGTAAGTCTCCAGGTTTTTGCTCCGTAGCTAAGTACCGGCGATATACAGCTGTTATATACCTTCCTCTTGAGGGATAGTGGCAATCTACCTGTCATAATTTGAGAGTGCTTGCCAAATGTGGCTCCACTCCATTCTTATTCTTCTAGGTACTTCAATCTCGTGGTTCGGCTCCGCGGTTATTACCTGCCCTAAGTAGACATTTACCTCGTGCTTACAGGAGGTTTTCAGAAGCCTACAATGGGAACAGTTAGGAATAAGAGTTAATGGAGAGTACCTTAGTAACCTGCGCTTCGTCCGATGACATTGCATTGCTGAGTAACTCAGGGGACGAATTGCAACTCATGATTACGGAATTAGACAAGGAGAGCAGAAAGGTGGGTCATAAAATTAATCTGCAGAAAACGAAAGTAATGTACAACCACCTCGGAAGAGAGCAGCGCTTCGAGATAGGTAATAGTGCACTTCAAGTTGTAAAAGACTATGTCTACTTAGGGCAGGATAATAACTGCGGAGCCATACATAATAGCACACAAAAAATAGTACACCACATGAGATTGAAATGAATGCCTAATACAGTCAAATCTTGTTATAGTGAACCTCAGAGTAAAGATTTTTTCAGATTAAACACTTTTTCGAAAATCCCCTCCAAATGTACATTGGTCTAATGTAAAAATGTTTCCCTACTACGAATTTCAGAATATCGAATGTTTCAGAATAACGTATCGATGTTATCCCCGTTATATCTCCACAACACTTCACAATAACGAATAGCAATTTTAAAAAGTTACTCATGCATGTGGATATATTGCCCAGTTCCGTTACCTGCCACCATAATCGTCGTATTTTTCTACGTGCCCACTCTCTTAAAATGTGCGATAGCCCTACAGCCACCACCATGACCTGGTACTTGTTTTTCACGACAGTCTTCGCCCAGTTGTTTTTGTTTTCGTTGGGCAGCTTTACCTGCGCGCTTGTTACACAGCTGTTTTCTAGCCTTATGGTCCGTGACTGAACATTCAGAATGAGCTCTGGCAAGAGCACGAAAGAAATGCTATGACGGTGAAAAACGCGACGTGAGTGACCTATGGGATGAAGTTGTCGATGATTGCCCTGTGCCCGCTTCACCAACACTTCAACACTATGCACATTGCGACGACGAATCACTGCATGTGGGCTTAGCTGACGACCTGATAAAATCCATGTTTAAATATCTTTTTTTTTCCTGTTTCCATTCGCGAATGCAACATGTTGGTTCCTCACATCACTAGCACTGAGTCACTGTCTCAGTTTGAGTTAGAAATTGAAAACAATTCTTAGCTTTTTTAAATACCCAATAACAATGGTAATGAAACCAGCATGTACTACGTGTATGTTCTCTAAACAGCCATGTAAGCGCCTTATTGTTAAACTTGCCATTTTGTATGCTCTTGTATTTTCTTTATTATATTGTGTAAATATTGCTAATGTACAAAGTGCCGGGTTGGTGTTGCTTTTATGTTCTGTATTACAGTTTTTTTTTTTTACTACGATGAGCAATCATAGCACCTGTACAGAGTGCCCACCTGCTATGGTATCAGTAGAGGCTGGCAGTATTGCAAATAAATAAATAAATACCATTTGTCGTGATAAGGAAACAGCGACGAGAGCGAAGACGACGTTGAAACAGTGCATACGAACCAAAGTGAAGAGTCGGTATTTAACGCCAATGCTTCGCAGTGCACGAGAAGGATGCGCACACCAGGGGTGCAACAGCCCAAATAAAATGTGGAGCAATTTTTGTAGCAACAAAATGCTACTTTTGGAACACTAAAATTGAATTTGGAGCGGGTTACTTTATCATAAAAGACTGGAGCAGTATAAAAAAGAACGCTTACATTAAGTATATATATATATATATATATATATATATATATATATATATATATATGTACAAAACATTCAACCCACCTAATTCGTGCAGAGTGAACATGAGCACCAACGTTATTTCAATAAAAGCAGTACCATTCTGAATTGCCCTACTGAGCAAGCAATGAAGTGCACATTAGCATATGCCAGGCCTGTCAAATCTTTTGAGACTGAGAAGTGAAATTTCGCTCTGCCAAGCTGGCGAGCTCAAAATTCGGGCGATTCACAAAATTGAGAAGTAGGTGGTGGTAAAAAAAAAACTGAAACACAAGTGTTTTTCTTTAGGGCAGCAGCAATATCGTTTGCTGCTCCAAATGATTGCCAGTAACTTTTTTAGACGTCAGCGATCATACTAGTACTCACAATTATGTGGCGCATACACGCATGAGTAATCGAACGAAATGTGCTGTGCCCCATGACTAGCGCTAACAAATCCTTCCAAATTATAATACACTTTTCCGTGGGACACCAGTGTACTGCAGCAAAGGTGGCTTAACTCTTTTGCTACCATGGGAAAAGGGGCCATTTTTACTAGGTGTGAAAAACATTTTCTTGTGCCAGTAGCTAAAAGAATCCGTGCAACAACATAAATGTCGCATATATATTTAATATATATATTTCCAGATTAAACACTTTTTCGAAAATCCCCTCTGAATGTACATTGGTCTAATGTAAATATGTTTCCCTACTACGAATTTCAGAATACGGAATGTTTCAGAATAACGTAAGAAAAAAAATGTTTATATTGAAAAGTTTATAAAGTGATTATACAATTAATGCTTTAAAAAGGAGGATAAGATAAAAATAATGAGATTAAGAATAATTCAAGATATGATTTATAGCTTCTTCTATTGCCAAAAGATTGTACAAGTTTGAAAAATTATTGCCGAAAAACCTTCTTTCTACAATAAAGAAAGTTAGTGAGGGTGCCCCAGTATATGGGTTATCCCGTGCAGCTTGCCATCGTGGACAGGGTACGTCTGCTCAAGGTCCACGACACTTAGAAAATCAAGGAACGAAAAAACAAAAAGGCTTCTGGGCATGGTCTTCGAAGGAATGAGGTCTGAAAATAACTCTGAGGTATTCCAGTATGGATGAAAGCGAGGCAATTCAACAAGTTCCATGCAAACCAGGATTTCAATGCACTTCATCACTTGATCGGGACTGAAGTTCTTTCTTGAATCGTCTCTTTCCGCGTACGTCTGTCTACCTCTCTAAAATATGCATCCACACACATTTGTTGGTGTAGACGCAGATCATGCTGGTCGCCTTGAAAGACAGGTGGAATAAATTTACGGGCGGGCCGCACAAAGCGCCGAGCGTTACTCTGGAGCGCGCCTCCAACTTTGAGCCCCCCCCCCACCTGATTTTGTGTCAAAAGAAACTGCACATGCGTGATAGATGCCAGCAAAGAATCATGTCCGTACTAAGTTCAGACCCTCATAACGAGTGAAATTGTTGTGAGTACACGCTCTGCTGCCTGTAACTACTAGTGAGACAACAAAATGTGTGCCACACATACAGCCGACACTTGCTCGCTCGACTTGTGGCTAGACTTGACGCATTCTCGTCATCGGTGCTGAAATTCAACGCGTAAGCATATTCTCCAGGCTCACTGCTGCTGATTTCATCCTCAAAATCTGCCGTTGATATGCTCGATTCGCGAGAAACGCGTCGTCTTTTAAGAATGTCCACACGGCAAAACGAAGCTGTGGTTGGCGCACTTGCGCAACACCCTGTAACTTTAAGTTGCGAGGGAAAGCTTCCCTAAAGCAAAAAGAACACCAAAACATAGCGGATCTCATTGTGCCCTTTTCTACTTTCTTATCTAGATGGCGCTAAGCACCCGCAAACTCTGCGAGTGAGTGAAAATTTAAATTTGAAATGCATCATTCCAATTGAAGGATTTGAATGGGCGTGGTAGCGAAGGAGTTAAGCAGTGTTCCATGCGGGTTAGAACAAAGCCAAGCAATTTTCGAACTGCTATCCCCCTTCCCCCAACCTCGCCCCCACTCTTTTTGTTTTCTTTCATGGCGGGGTTAACTTCCGGCGCCCAATATATATCGCCAAGACGATGCAACTTCATGCCAGAAAAATGTTATACGTGTCGTTGCTATGGCAACCAACTTGGCGGCTGGCAACGATGGCATTCACAGGATGCCGACATTGTTTGCGCGCCAAATATGTGGGATACGTTCCTAACCTCCATAACCGCTTTGCCGACTAGGAAATTCATAATTTCTGCAAGTTGGTGGCTACAGCAATGCATTTTTTGATTGATTGATTTGTGGGGTTTAACGTCCCAAAACCACCATATGATTATGAGAGACGCCGTAGTGGAGGGCTCCGGAAATTTTGACCACCTGGGGTTCTTTAACGTGCACCCAAATCTGAGCACACGGGCCTCGACATTTCCGCCTCCATCGGAAATGCAGCCGCCGCAGCCGGGATTTGAACCCGCGACCTGCGGGTCAGCAGCCGAGTACCTTAGCCACTAGACCACCGCGGCGGGGCGGTGGTCTAGTGGCTAAGGTACTCTTTTTTCTTTTTTTGTTTAAAGTTTTGTAGTCCTGCCAATACATTCACTATGGTCAGTGTGCATGGCGTTGTTATTTCATCTTATACTTTATCAGGACGATGGCATCTCACAAGTGTCCTCACATAATGAGTAGCATATAACTTGAACTGTGGTTTGGGGTTAGTGTCTGAGCGCTTGGTTTGATTGAGCACAATGTGCAGGTGACCAATGTGGCCTCCATTTCTCACTGAAATCAGTACACTCGAGATAATTTTGATGCTGGGCGAGCGTTTTAGCACAGTGTGGCACAATTTTAGCAAATTTAATGGTTTTGGCACAGCTTGGCACAACAATGGGTAATCGTATCAAACTGGCGCAATTGGCACAGCTGTTGCCACTCTGGCACGCTTAAGAGGTCTTCTTTCAGCAGTCTAGCTGCCCACATGCTTCATGAAATAAGTGTGCACAAGTCTTGTAATACTTTTAAATTTTTGCGCTTATTTGAGCATAACGCGGTCGCAAATGTATACGCAGCACGGATAGGCAGACGACTCGCGTGATTGCCTTTATGATTTCTGCTCAAATATTTACTACTTTCGCTACAAAAACTTATCAAAATAATGAATAATGTTTAGCGATCCATTGAGATTCGTTGTATCGAGATTTCACAGTAAAATGATGCAATGAAAGGGTGACAATAATGTTACCTTACCCTATTTTGCACTGCACATTCAATGATGCGTAATTTCAAGCCTCAATGATGCGTAATTTCAAGCCTCAATCTTTGCCTTAAATTCAGCCTTGTTTTAACACATTGAAGGTTAACAACTTCAAGACTGTCAATCTTGGTCCAAGACTTCAAGATGGTCCATTATCATTTGTACCGGTATGTTTAAAGAGAGTGCCTCCTCAGATATTTTTTTTTGTTGTTGCTTGGCATTAGCTGCCACATTGCAGAGATCCATGGAATTTTTTCCTTGCCCCGATGTCCCTGCGTTTCTTTTTATGCTTTACTATAGTGGCATGCAGGAGCGTGGCAGCTAGCTTCAGTTTCCTTTTTTGTCCAGTCCCTGCTAGTTGTTGCAGCCACTAAGCCGACGTCTGTCTGGTTTATAATCCCCGAGAAGGTGACCGCTTTCTTATTCTTCTCGTTTATTGCTCTCCAACGCATGATTACGTCTGTTTCTGTGCAGACATCGACAGACTGAAACGATGTCGCTGTGAATGCATTTCCCATTTCCGGCACTCCTCTTCTGTCTTAGTGGCAATAAGGGGAGGGATTATCATCGGTTTCTGACTTGTTCTCAGTTTCAAGACGCGTGCAAAACCACAAAGTTCTGTACAGTGCGTTAACCCACGCAGTTCACTTGCACTAGTGGAAGACCTCTCATTGTCATGTCGGCAATATGCAAATCAAGTTATGGCTGGTAGGTGCTGGTTCCACAATTTTGCAACGTTTAAGAGCCAGTCTGCACAAGAGGTGGGATGGTTCTTCCTCGAATTTGTAGCCTCGCCTCTAGAAGACGCTAAAACTGCCGGTGCGTAGGGCAAACCACCCTGTGAAAGCGTTCTGCAAATACCACTTTTCTTTGGTTCAAAGCAAAATTTAAGTGAATGGTAATTACTATAGGACAATGTTGAAGTGAATTGAAATAGTAGTAGGATTTGAACAGCATTAGGGTGCAGGTTATATGCGGTAAAATACATTATGTTTTAAACTTTGCCATACTTGGCCAATATAGGCCCGTATAACATGTACCTTTAACCTTTAAAAAACATTTGAGTGCCGGTAATATGCACACTTTAACTACAAACTGTGTGGCTTTGCTGCATTGGTTGGTTTTCCCTAAATAAGCGGATTCACGGCCCAGCAGGCCCCCTCTGACCAAACCACATTCTCAGATGTGTCACATGCGGCAAAATAATATTTAAGGTGCCCGAATATTCTCACACGCATGACCGCACTGCTTTTTACAGCCGCTGTACCTGGGCACTGATGGTCCGCTGAAAGGTCTTGGTGTTGGAGTCCTCGTTAGAGGTGTTGCTGCTCCACTGGGTGTTGAACTCAGACATGGTCTGCTTCAGCCAGTTCACAGACCACTGCCACGTGGGCGGGGCCTGTAGCAGGTAGTCCTTGGCGTGTTGACACCTGCACATGTAAGTGGGCAGAACTGATTCATTGCTGGAGTTTAGCATCACAAAAGCACCATACAATTATGGGAGACGCTGTAGTAGAGGTTTTCCAAAACTTGAAGCGCACTTAAGCCTGAGTACGCATTTGCGTTTCCACTGAAAATGCAGCCGCAGCAGCTGGGTTTCGATCCCGCGACCCACAAGTAAGAAGTCGAGCACCATAACCACCAGACCACCGTGCCGGATTACTTGTGAGGCTAATGACACTAAGTAAAGTAACACTATTGAAACGAGACAGTGTAACGACAAGGGGTGATAACAGTGTAATGACTAGGGGAGATAACAGAATAGAAAAAATTAAAGGAATATCAAGGTAGGCAAAGCAATATAAGAAAATATGCCAGTTAATAGCAAAGATTCGCTTAGTATGTTTTGCAAGTAACCTGAATGGCCCGAATAGATGGGAAAAATCACCCTGGATTCGACTTGCCGAGACTTTCCCAAACTTAGGTCAATCATTGAGTCGAGGCGAGCTTGGTGAGCAATGTATAAGTGAATGAGAATCAGAGTGAGTGCTCTTGAAAAAAATTTCAGTGAGTCTGAGTGGGGCCGGGAAATTTTCATCAGTATTACTCTGAGTGAGCCCTAAGCATCCAAACTCGCAGGGTTTCTTACTTATTCCTCAAATACAGCTTGAAGGTGGAAGCTATTTTCTTCGTTGACGTCTGAGTCGGCGTACTAGTCTCTACCTGATCTTCTAGAGAGCTTACTGCACGAAACTAGGTTTTGACTGTCTTCATCACTGCACCACCCTTAAACAAGTCACGATGCCATCCAATGACGTGATCAGCAAGTTATCTACCCTCTCGATGTTGCTTCACCATTTTGTTTAACTGTTTTGTCACAATGAGGTCATAAAACGACGTCCTCGTGTCACGATACTTTTTGGGTCCCTGACACTGAAGCATCAAAGCTCTCTCTCTCTCACAAGAAAACCTCGACTAAGAAGAGACCAGTACTGTAGCATGGCAGACAGAGAAGTTGCAGTCTGAAGGGATTAGTGTCCGAAAAAAAAGCTGGATGCAGGGGCTTCAAGGCAAGTTGCAGGAAATCAACAGCGCAGTAAACAGACATGCCCGCACCTGCCGACCATACTTTATATTCTATAAGACTGGTGGAATTTCAAATATGGCAGTCTTCAGAAAAAAATCACAACATGAGGATATTGTAATTAAAACAAGAGGTCCCAAATAGGCTTCCAGCTACGAGGCCTCCTGTGTAGATACATTTTAATCACTTACAGTTCTTATTTCACTAGCGATGAGTGATCATGGTTCCTCACCTATGGGCCATGGTGACGAGGAACTTCACACCCTGATATGACCGGCGGCTGTCGTTGTTCTGGTTGGACTTGATGATTTCTGCGCACAATATAGTGACAGCGTTAGTAAGCATAAGCGATAGGCGTATAAACCCAGTATGAACAAAGGCAACAAATGAAGCAAAATGCCCCTAATTCAGTGTAAATTCGGAAGTTTCTGACTGTACACATAACTTCATAATGGACAAATCTTTGTCCACTCACCAGTTTTCTGTAGGAACGATTAGCTTGTTTGTACAGGTAGAAAGACGACAAGGGTGACAAGGATCGAGCGCTAATTTCGGCAAATGCTTGGTGTCAAGCTTTCGTAAAATTGTTACTTAAATGTTTTAGAACTGTTTGTCATCTCCACTACGTTTTGCAGCACAATGACCACATGCCTGATCGTTTAGCAGAGAGCCCTCTCCCGTTATAATACGAGACCCACTTGACACAGGTTAAATTGTCTGAGATTTCTAAACCCCAACATGACACATCTGCTGAACAAAACACTTTACAATTAATTCCAGGATGCTAACGTGACGAAAATTAAACATAGTTCACCACACACAAAGGCGGAATGCCAGTGCTGCTGCACAACGCACCACATTAGGTGAATTTGAGAACCCCCAGGTAATAAGATATAGAAAATGGTTACATGAAGTACAGCAAAGATTAAAAATTTCTTTTTTGGCAAAAATACCTCTGCAGGAGCAAACATTGTTATACAAGAGGCAATACTTACATATAAACTATTTACCAATAAAATAGCCCGTTGATGGTTAAACTTTTTTTGGTGGGGGGAAGGGAGAAGAAAAAAAGCAAGAAAAAAACTTTCAAGATGATAGAATTACTTTCTTTCTGACCCTTAAATGTAATAAAATGCGTAAAGTTGTGAAGAAATTGTACAAAAAATTAGAAACGGTACACCACACTGGCGTCCAACGCGGTATCAAAAGCTCTAGCTTTTGACTGCTCTTAGCGAGTCAGTTCGCCTGCGCGATTCGGGCTCGTCGCAACAAACGTGCTTCGTGGCATGCCCCGTTGCTCAAAGAGGCCACCGCCTCTATTGACGGGCACCCTTCGATGCCCGTCTGTGTCGTCACCCCCTTTTGTGGTGAATACACAACCAACGTGGTAGCTGACGCGCTATCTCGTGCCCCCTGTTGTCTGCCGAGAACCTGGATTTCGGTGCGACAGCCGCTCGCGGTGCCCCAGCACATGCAAGCGTTGGGGGCGAAACAGCGGCGAAAAGGGGGAGTCCCCATGAGGACGACCTTGGCTGCTATCCAGGTAAGCGGCGCACTGCATAGCGGACGAGTGGGGGAACTTTCCGAAGGCCACCTTGCCGAGAGCGAACCAGTGATGCCGTGCACGCGGCGGTTGCTGCGGTCCTGAGTGGGTGCGATACCAGACTCCCCCATTTGGGAGAATGGGAATCGCTTTCGGCAGCGAAGAGCTACTGAAGGCTCAGCAGGGTGATTTGTTTCGACTCTCGGAGGGACGGAGCGCCGTATACGCTGCTTGCTCTGCGGCGGGCGCCGATAAACCGTCTTGAAAAGGCACGGAGCGCCGTTACGCTGCTTGTTCTGCGGCGGGCGCGATTAGGGGGCTGAAACAGCGTGTGTCGCTGAGTTCCCGGCGGATTCATTTTGCTGGACCATGACGGGCTCCTGCTGAAGTATATAGCCACTGACGATGAGTCCATCGACCCGTTTAAGGTGGTTATACCCAAAAGTCTGAGAGCCGCACTGTTGCGATCCTCTCACGACAAACCCATGGCCGGTCACCTGAGTGGCCCGAAAGTTTTTGCAAAACCGAGCAACGTTGTGACCTGGCTAGCACGAAGCGTGACTTTTATCGCTATTTCGTGCCTGCAACGTCTGACAAACGGTTGAACCAAGGGTTGGAAAGCTGCCCGGTCTTATGAACCGATTGTCAGTGAGCGTCCATGACGCGTACTAGCTGAAAGATCCTCTTTGGGAAAACTGAGCCGTGCCCACATCGCAGACCTGAAGCCCTTTGTCACGGTCTGACGAGCTCGCGCCAGCGCCCTGCGGCACTTTGTGCACGCAACGGGCACACCCGGAGCGGCAAACCGCATTCGGACCCCACACCGGTATAATCTGAGGAAGCGGTCACCTTTGTGATTTCGCGCCGGAGGGCGGACTTCTCCACAACCGAAGGCCCTCAGTTTACTGTCTAGCCTCAGTATAGGTTAGCTTCTTTACGGCCTTTTCTCGTAAAGAAGTCGACCCCGCCCAGTTTGCTGCCAGTGTTTCTTTTTTTAAGTGTTCATGTGTATTTTATGTTTTTATTTTTTTGGCCAGAGATTGAGTCATTTTGCTCTGTTTTTACTTTTTTTCCGTGTTTATTTCGTCTACCGGGAAGGGAGCCGTGACCTTGTGCCGGTGCTTATGCGTGGAAAGAGAGTGACGAAGGACGCTTCGCGCCTACGCTCGCGCAGCCGTCGGCAGTGTGTGTGCGTGTGTGTTTCTGTGCGTGTGCAAGTGCGTGACGCTTCAGTGCGTGTCGTGAAGAGTGCGTCATGGCTTCCCCCCCATCGACGCGGACACTAGAGGTGCTCGGGGCACTGACCTACAGACGCTGTGCTCTGCTCTCGGCCGTCGACGAAGAAGCCCTGTTGCCTTTCCCACCATGGCTCCTGCGCGAGGCCAGCTGAAAGCAGCTATATGCTGCCGGCCAATGCCAGGGCGCCTTGCAGCCAATTCTGGTTCGGCCTCCCTGATCACTGCAGAGACCCGGCTTCCCGCTACGTCCCAGCTCCGTCATCGAGCCAGAAATGCGGGGCCTCTGAACCACAACCGAGGCGGCGTTCGCAAACTCCCGGCCAATCAAGAGCAGCAACGAGCCATCAGAGAGCCCCCCTACCATGCATCTGACCTCGCACTCAGGCATCGCAACTAGCGGGCGTTGTCGCGCCCCTCCGCGCGGTGGACGCTATCCCGCTTCTGCACCACGAACACTATTGCTACTTTCCTGTGCTCCCTTTCGCAGTTATTTTTATAGTGTTTATTTTTGTTTTTGTTTCTCCTTTGTCATCATTTTTTTTAGCAGCAGTAACAGGGCTGGACTGAGGTTAGCTGTCGCTCATAGCAGTGTCATTTTAACTGCATGGGTGATGTCCGGCTGCCTTTTGCAGACCGGTAAAGGGCAAATTTAGGAGAGGGGGATGTGGGAATTGAGGCTAGCCCGCTGCCTTTGCGCGGGCTTTGCCGCCTTTTCTGCCGTTCTCATGTCCCGACATGTCTCCCCTCCTTTGCTGTCTGCCGCGCTGGGAGAGCGGAGTGACGTTTAACCCCCTCACCCGGTAGCGGATGTTGACTGTGGCGACGCGCGCGGAGTCTCCCGAGAGGTTTTCGCGCAGTGCGTCGGGAGCGGGCAGACAGATACTTTCCGGGACTGCAAACGGTGAGCTACGCAATCTTTTCCGTCCGTCGACTCCCGTCGCTCGGGGCTCGTCGGACTTCGCTGACGGCGTCTCGCGCCCGAGGCGAACGCTCGCCTTTTGTTGCCCCACTGCGTACGAATGGCCGAAGGGTGGTACGGTGTCCTAGTGCGTGGCCTAGCTACGCCGACCCGTCTCACTCCGAAGCCAACGCGAGCGCCTTTGCCTTCGCTCGAGCAACCGGGCCTTGGTCCCGGTGTCTCCGTGGATCACCTTGACCGCGGAGACGTGCTCGTGCACCCTGTGGAGTACTTTTATGCCCACGGCATGGATAAGCCTATTTGCTCTCTTGCCGCGCCTTTGCAATGGGCTGTACTGCGTTTGGTGTTGCCACAATAAAGTGTTGCAACTTTGAGCAGTATCGTGTTCTCGCCACGGCGACGGTTAACGCGTGCCCTGCGGCTCGCTAAGACCGGACCCACGCTAGTGGCCGTACTCCTTCGGGATACGTGTACACCACAAAATCAACTTCCACTGCCCCTGCAAGAGAGTGCCGATAAACATAAAAACCAATGTTTGCTAGCCTCCACTGCAATCACACAGAGAAACTGAAACCACAAGAGGGCGTTGCCAATTGATCTTTTCCCCAGTAGAGCTCATGCCATTAGATCACTAAAACACCCAGACAAAAAGAACGAAAGGCATTAGGCAACAAATCAGGTCATCACCTAGCAGCCCATCAAACTCAGCCTTCTCCTCCCGTGAGCCGTCGATGACCAGCTTGATCCGGCTGAACTGAAGAGGGTCCTCCACTTTCTGCAAGTTGGCAACATTCAATGCAATCTTTCAGCGTTTACTAATAAAGTAACGAGTGCTTACTGGATCGGAGAAGAGCAAAATACGTTTTCACTTTTTTTTTAACATCCATTTCTTTTAAGAATGAAAGAGAAATGGATCATGGGTTTACGAAACCTAACGGAATTAATGGACAACGAAGATGGGAAAGTTACCGTATTTACTCGTATAATTTATGCCTTTGCATAATTTGCACACCCCTACTGTTTTGTCAGTTTAAAAAAGAAGAAAAAGTAAATATTCACTTGCATATTTTGCGCTCCTCAACCCACCAGAGCCAGCTCGCTGGTTCGTGCAGGAAAAGAGTTTATAATTTTGGATTCATTAAATGGGGGCATGCTCTGCCGATGAGGCAAGTGCGGTCAAATCGGCTGCGAGTGCAAAGTGTCTTGTCCCGAGTACTTTCCCCGAACAAGGGTCCCTAGAATACTATGCACGAACACTCAAACCTGTTGACGGGTCGTTGGAAATGCTTAAGTGTTTGTCCCTCTATATCTCTACAACCGTGAGAATGCATGCTCGCATCACGACACGGGAAACTTTCGGCACAGGAGGCGTGTGAGGACCTTTTGAGCTTGTCGTGCCAAATGTTCCCCTCGTTCTCTGCGTACGCGCTGCAACGCACGCTTGGCTGATTTCTGAAGTTCAGGTTTCACCATCCATCCATCGCGTTTTTACTATTCTCTTGCAATGGGCTACAATAACTACATATACAGCCAAATTCAAGCTCACTGTTGTGAAGTTTGACGAAGAAAATGAAAATCATGGCATCGCCAAGCACTTTTGCGTGAAGTTCTTCAACGTGTGACGGTAGACCTGATCAGTACGGAAGAATGGAGAAGAGTGTGCGCTTGATTATAGAACTTTCCTGCCTGAAGAAGGTCTTTTCTATTTTGTGCGAATGCACAGGTTTTTCGGTATCTCTGTGTCGCGGGGCCCAATTTTTCCTAGTATTGTCGAGAAGAGCTTTATGGGACATTCGAACGTGCTGAACAGAACCAAGGGCGATGCACTTTGAGAGGGCGGTGGCAGCGGCTGCGACGATGATTCTCAATCGGACCTTTCAATAAAGCGATTACGATTAGACCGTGCGTGACCGGGTCTGACTGGTTAAAGTATGTGCTGATTCTGTTAAATACACAAGTACACTTCGTTTGTATCCAAATTTATTTTAGCCCCCCTCCCCCCCAATGGTCTTGTGGCTAAGGTACTCGGCTGTTAACCCGCAGGTCGTGGGATCGAATTCCGGCTGCAGCGGCTGCCTTTCCGATGGAGGTGGAAAAGTTGTAGGCCCGTGTGCTCAGATTTGGGTGCACGTTAAAGAACCCCAGGTGGTCGAAATTTCTGGAGCCCTCCACTACGGCGTCTCTCATAGTCATATGGTGGTTTTGGGACGTTAAACCCCACATATTAATCAATCAACGAATTTATTTTATTTTCTTTAACATATACACTGCGTACTTAAGACTATTGCACATTGTTTCGTATGCGTTTGCGATATTCCCGCGCAATTTGCGCGCCCCCTTCTCGGAGCCCCAAAATCGCAAAAAAAAGTGTGCAAAATATGCGATTAGATACGGTATACAAAACATTATTGGTAATGTTCAATTGTAGTAGACATTATGACATAAATAAAAAAAGAAACAACAACAAACAAACAAGAGAACTAGAATGAACGTAGGCTTCACTGAATGTTGGTAAGGACCAAAGCTGCAACCTTCAAACAACTTGTTCGATGCTATACCATTTAAGCTACAGCAAGGATTGTTCCCCTGTTCACATTATTGGATATTTGTGTGCGTGTAATTGTAAGCACGCTAGTCACCACCATTTTTAGCCATGGCAAACGAGTGTAGAACACTTTTTTTTTCATGCGAATATGTAAGTCAATTTCTGTATCCCCGAGTCAAGATGCACAACTATTTTTGTACTCTCCTCGAGACAATCTTATCAGGAACGTATTGTCCTATGTTGCCCTGTCTGGTCAAATGCTGCAGCAGGGCTCCTTCAGAATATGCTGTTTGAAAACATTTCAGTTACAGCTGAATCAGATGTTGTAACCATCGCAATTTATCGCGTGCAACTAGCAGTGATAATGCAACAAATTTGGAGCTTTAGCTCCAAATTTGTTGCATTATCACTGCTAGTTATACGCAAAGCGAGTTATACGCAAATATCAGTGTTCAAGGTGACTACATGGCAATGTATAACAAACAGCAATGCAAGCAAGGTGCCTTCATTTAAATGTGCAAAACTTTAGAACTGTTCCTCCAGTTGTAAAATATTTGTAATGTGTAGTGGACAGCATTGATCATATAAGAGGTGGGTCATTTGAAAGAAAATATATGGTATAAACTAGGAGCATGCAGGGACTGGCTACAAAAAGGAAATTAAGAAGACAAGCCACTTACCATCAATTCTAAGAGAAGCTGTGAAAGGTTCTTAAGCTCGTTTGATGGAACCGTGGAGTACTGAGTCTGAAAACAAGACACGGAGCAATGAAAAGATTGAGACACTCACCACGACTGTATATACTATTTATTAAAAACGATATTTCTTATTTGGGTACTAAAACACAAAAATTTTGGTCCGTCTGTCTGTTTGTCTGCTTGTCCCCCAAAACGACACCCGAAACGGCTAAAATTCAACCACATCTGCAGTGCCCACCAATAATGCTCTAGTTTCTGCATGCACAAACAAGAAACATTAAGCATATCTGAGGCACAAGATCAACACTTCAATATTCTGTGATGTGTTTGGTTCAAGGACCCAAGGGTCTATTCCAAGGACCCTAGGGTCTATCACGTTGCACTGACAATGCACCGCTATGCACCAAAAAACAAGTGTTTCCTACATACGTTTTGCTAAAACGGCACGGTGGGGGCACCTACCCTTCGCCTTGCATGCTACACATTATGGCCTCCGAGACGGGCGCGCACGCTGCGCGCTTGCCAGATCAGAGGCTATCCTTTCATTTTCCAAGGTAACAGCCAGATGGGGCTCATGTCGTACACCGTAGAGTGCCCCGATGCGCTGGTTTGCCTTCGCTGTGCGCATCGACACACTGCCTCCTGAATCCCATTGACCGATTTTCTCGTGCAGAACATCAAATAAATCTTTTGTTTACTCTCAGCAGATGCAAGACTATTGTCTTCCGACGACATTTGCAGTGAAACATACAAATACGAGGCCAATTTTTTATGGTTTACTTTCAAAAGGTAATGCTAATTAAGTAGTGCACTCCACCAGTGTTTGCAGCCGAGATGTGGTGTGAAAGACTGCCAGCCATGTTTGCATGTACAAATACAGTGCAGACCACTTATAACATAACCGCTAATAGTGCAGAACCGCTTACAATGCGGTCTTTTTCTACTCCCGTTCAACCTCCCACAGAACCCCATGCATACTAAAATGAAAGACCGGTTATAATGCGGTTGCCGGAAATCGTTTGTGACAAATGCGGTAATGAGTGCGCGCTAAAAGGAAGCGTGCTGGGTGCACAGCTGGGGAGCGAACGACGAGGTCATTACGGAGGAGGAGGGGACACAAAGTGAACGAGCGAAGAGCAAAAAGAAGAAAAAGATAATGAAAAAAAAAACGCGAGACACTACACGGCTCGACGAGTAAGGGAGGAGGACGGTAGCCTCGGTGATCGATAAGCCTTTGCACCGGCGCCGAGGCGGCTACAGCATACTACGTCGCTAGCGTGGCACGTGCGAACCTATCCTTATCAACTGCATACGCTTAAGTTTTCTGTTAGGAAAGACATCGTCGTTATTGAGCTTGCATCAAATATCGCATTTGCTTTCTTGTCCGTAAATTGAAAACCTTTTTGGTTTTATGACACGAGGTTTAACTTTTGTTGGCAGTGCGCTGTCGTACGTAAGCTTGGCGAGTTGTCATCGTTGCTGATCTGCCGGCCACAAATGCGAACTTCGTATAATGCATGCTGTTCTTGGTTTACTGCTAGTGCGATCTTTTTGGCGCCGAATCTTCATGTTCTGGACAAACTTCCCGCGCCAACATACCAAGCAGCATGCTAGGCCTAATCGGCGTTGGTTGCGCTTTGATCGGTAGTGATCACGTGAATCTAAGTTAAAGTTTGGCACCGAATCAACGAAACACTTTCTGGGGGCCACACTTGATGGGAAGGGATATATATCGTTAATGAAAATGGGGGCGGCACCTGTAGCGCTCAAATAGTGGTTCGCGATTCGATTGCGATGTCTTAAATCGGGTGTGCGCCCATGAAATCGAATGGTTGGCGTCTTGCAACGCGTCAAATTGTGGATGTGATTCGACACAGTTTCTATGTAATGCCCATAATCGAGGTGGTCTAGTAGTCGGCGAATTTCCGCGATAGTGCTTTCATTTGTAAGACCCCCCCCCCCCCCCCCTTTCGCGTTCATTTCATTGGCAATGTGCGTCTTTGGACATTCAATTCTTTTAACATTAAAAAATTTGAATGTTAGCAAGCATGCATCACACGTTTCAATTTTCGGACACGCGAAGCTGCATGTTCAACAGGTTTTTCGCAAGTGCTGCCCTAGAAAAAGGTTGTTTTGGTTATAGTAGTGTGGTACCGCTTATAGTCGCGCGAACGCCCTGTTTCGTCGCTCATAGCATCGCTCGTCGCTGTCGCGTGCATTTTCGCGCTTATGAGGTTTGCTCTAAATGCTGAGTCCTTGGAGACGTTGTATAAGCGGCAGCAAATCGGGGTCATTTTGTTGTTGTTGAGCGATTTCTGATGCCTGGACGACGCCTAGAAACGGGAAGTCTTCTTCCTCCGGCTCAATATTCTCCACTGGCGCGCATGACAGGCAGTTGGCATCGCTGTGCTTTTTCCCAGATTTGTATACCACAGTAATATCCTACTTTTGTAGCCTAAGGCTCCATCTTGCTAGTCGGCCAGAGGGATCCTTAAGATTCGCCAGCCAACACAGGCAATGGTAGTCACTGACTGCTCGAAATGGTCTACCGTAGAGGTACGATCGAAATTTACTTATGGCCCAGATGACCGCGAGACACTCTTTTTCGGTTGCAGAGTAATTTGTCTCAGCTTTCAAAAGCTTGCGGCTGGCATACGCTAGCATTTTGTCTTGGCCGTTTTGCCGCTGGACTAGAATGGCTCCGGGGCCAACGTTACTTGCATCAGTGTGAACTTCAGTTTCGGCAGTCTCATCGAAGTGGGCGAGGATAGGAGAGGCTTGCAGGCGTGTTCTTAACTCATCAAATGCTTCCTGTTGTTCACTTTACCACATAAAGGGCACATCGTCTATTGTTAGATTAGTAAGTGGTTCAGCAATGTTCAAAAAAAATTTCCACAAATCGCCGATAGTACGCGTATAAACCCAGGAAGCGACGTACTGACTTCTTGTCTTATGGTGTCGGGAACTTCGCGATAGCAGCTGTCTTTTCGGGATCTGGACGAACACCTTCGGAGCTGACGACGTGTCCGAGAAATCAAAGCTTTTCAAAACCGAAGTGGCATTTTTCTAGCTTGATGGTCAAGTCTGCTGAACGAATGGCTTCTAATACTGTGCGGAGTCGCTCTAGATGTTAGCCAAATGTAGCGGAAAATACGACAACGTCATCCAAGTACACCAAGCAAGACTGTCATTTCAGTCTCACGAGGACAGCGTCCATAATTTTCTGAAACGTTGCTGGCGCTGTGCACAGGCCGAATGAAAGCGTTTTAAATTCGTTGAGGCCATCTCGGGTTATGAATGCCGTCTTTTCACGGTCGTGCTCATCCACCTCAATTTGTCAATATTCGCTCTTGAGATCAAGGGAGGAGAAGTATTTCGCACTCTGTAGTCGATCGAGTGTATTATCGATACGCGGCAGAGGGTATACATCCCGTTTCGTTACGCTGTTCAGTTTCCGATAGTCGACGCAGAATCGAAGGCTGTTATTTTCCTTTTTAACAAGCACTACGGGAGACGCCCATGGACTGCTGGAAGGCTGGATCACGTCATCTGAAAGCATCTCCTCCACTTGTTTCTTTATGACATCTCTTTCCTTTTACGATACTCGATATGGGTGCTGGTAGATCGGTCTCGTGGCTTCTTCTGTTATAATCCTGCGTTTTGCAATAGCCGTGTGTCGCACCTTGAAGGACGTTGAAAAGCAGTCCGAAAGGGCAAACAATGGTTTCTTTTGATATTCTGGGAGCCTATGGTTGACATTAACTGATGCGTCGACGTTGCAGGTCTCTTGTGGAGTGGTTGGCGTTGTTGCTAAACTGCATTGTTCGGTTGCCATGCGGCACTCGCGGAAATAGGTGATAGCCATACCTTGCGCGATGCGCTGACATTCATTCCCAAAATTCGTAAGGAGGACAACTGAATGGCCATTCCTTAAGTGAACAACACCCCTCGCCACGCAAATTCCTTTGTTTAAAAAGAGCCCTACATTTCCATCCACTATTCCTTCATGGTCACAAAATGCCTTATTCTCGACAAGCACCATTAAACTACAGCGTGGTGGCACTGTGACGTCATCAACAACGTGCAGAGCAGTAAGACGTCGCTTTTCCGATTCCTCCACCGACATAGCTTGTTCAGTAGAAAACGTTACACTGGATCTGCGCAGATTAATTATGGCTCCATTGGCTTGCAGAAAATCCATTCCTAGTATAAGCTCCCTTGAACAGTCCGGCAGTACGATAAAGTCAGCAAAGTAAGTAAAGCCTCTTATTTCGAGCCTTGAGGTGCATCTGCCAAACGGTGGCCACCTGCCGTGCGTATCTGTGCCCCACTCCATTTCGTCACAACCTTTTTCATTTTCTTTGCAAATTTGTGACTCATTACCGAATAATCAGTGCCGGTGTCAATTAAAGCATTCAGCTCGTATCCATCTATTTTCAACCACAAATCTGAAGTAATCTTCGCAGCTGCGCTTATCCTCTGTAAACATAGCATCGTCACCTTGAAACCGTGATGGAGGAACTTCGCAACTGTAGTTATCAGCGGCCTCACCTCCACAGGTTGCTTGTTTCAGTTTTCCGGGTGTGGGCTTGTAGAACGGTGCTTAGGCCGTGCGGAAGAAGCACGTGGGCTGGGTGATCGGCAACGCCTGGGCGGCGGCAATCTTGGTTGATGTTGGCGTAGAGTGAGTGGGCTCTGCCGCGTGGACAGGTACTCTTCGATCTCCGCTGACCGTTGACCGTTTCGAGGGCATGGTGCGTACAACGGAAAGCCCCTTAATCCTGCCTGTCAGTATGGGCAGAACCTATACAGGTGACCTGCTTCCCCGCAAAAGAAACACAAAGGCCTGCGCTCGTTGTCATGCCAGATGTCACTTTTTCGGGGCCTTTGATTCAGTAGCGAGGTACTACGGGCTCGTGGCAGGTAGGTAGCCTTCGGTTCCAGTGGACGAGGTGTGCTGCGTATCGTCTGTGGGTAAGGAGCGGCCATCGCAACTGCTGCATTGCTGTGCGCCGCAGGTTGTCTGAGTATTTCAGAGTACGTTGGGA